TGCAATTTTCCGATTTTTTGACTTTTTAATTTTACAGTTTTGAAATTCCAGCATTTTTTAATTTTTCGATTTTTCAATTTTTGCTCTCGATTTTCGATTTTTAGAAATTTTGTTTTTTCGTTTCCTCAATTTTTGGATATTTTTTTAATTTTTTAATTTGAAATTTTTCAATTTTTCAAATCCTCGAAATTTTAACTTTTCGTTCCTTCGATTTTTCGAATTTTCAATTTTTCAAGATTCAATTTTCGAATTTTCTATTTTTAGATTTTTCATTTTGTAATTTTTCGGATTTTTCAATATGGAATTTCTAGATTTTCAATTTTTCGAGTTTTTAATTTTATAATATTGAAATTTTTCCGCTTTTCAATTTTATAATTTTGCACTTTTTCGAATTTTCAATTTTCCGATTTGGAATTTTTTAATTTTTCAGTTTTTCGATTTTTTAATTTTTAGACATTATGAATTTTCATTTTTTCGATTTTTAGTTTCCTAATTTTTCATTTTTCGGTTTCAATTTTGCAATTTTTCGAAATTTCAATTTGGCCATTTTGCAATTTTCCGATTTTCAACTTTTTAAATTTACAGTTTTGAAATTCTGGCTTTTTTAATTTTTCAATTTTTCAGTTTTTATGTTTGCAATTTTTCATTTTTCATTTTTTGATTTTCAATTTTTGGTTTTTATTTTCCGAATTTTTCCAATTTTTCAGTTGCTTGATTTTTCAATTTTTCACTTTGCAATTTTTAGAATTTTTGATTTTTGAAGATTTCAATTTGCGATTTCTCGGTTTTTCAATTTATTTTTTAATTTTACAATTTTGAAATTCTTCCGTTTTTAATTTTTCGAGTTTTAAATTTGAAATTTTTCAACTTTTCAGTTTTGCAGTTTATCGGAATTTCAGTTTTGGCCATTTTGCAATTTTTCGATTTTTCAATTTTTGTTCTCGATTTTCGATTTTTAGAAATTTTGTTTTTTCGTTCCCTCAATTTTTGGAATTTTCAATTCTGAGATATTATTTTAATTTTCCATTTTGAAATTTTTCCATTTTTCAATTCCTAGAAATTTTAACTTTTCGTTCGTTCGATTTTTCGAATTTTCAATTTTTCAAAATTCAATTTTCGAATTTTTTATTTTGAGATTTTTCATTTCGTAATTGTTTCGCTTTTCAATTTTACAATTTTGCAGTTTTTCGAATTTTTAATTTTCCGATTTTGCAATTTTTTAATTTTTCAGTTTTTCGCTTTTTTAATTTTTCAATTTTTAGTTTCCCAATTTATCGTTTTAAAATTTTTGATTTGTTTAATGTTTAAATTTTCGTTTTTCATTTATGTATTTTTTTAATTTTTCGATATATAGTTTTCAGAATACACAATTTTTCGATTTCAATTTTTTTCATTTTACAATTTTTAGAATTTCTGATTTTTGAAATTTTTCCATTTTCCATTTTTTGGTCTCCAATCTTTCGTTTTTTGATTTTTATTCTCCGAAGTTTTCAAGTTGTCCATTTTTCCGATTTTTCAGTTCCTCGATTTTCAATTCTTATTCAATTTTTCTTTTTGAAATTCTTCGATTTTTCGAATTTTTCATTTTCGAGATTCAATTTTCGAATTTTTTAATTTGATTTTTCATTTTGTAATTTTTCGTTTTTTTCTATTTTTCGATATTTCATTTCCCAATTCTTCAATAAGGAATTATAAATTTTCAAACTTTTTTAACGTTTTTCGATTTTGCAAGTTTTCGATTGCAATTTTTGGAGTTTTTAATTTTATAATTTAGAAAATTTTCCGTTTTTCGATTTTAGACATTTTGAAATTTCGGTTTTTCAATTTTTAGTTTCTCAATTTCTCGTTTTAAAATTTTTGATTTTTTTCATTTTACAAATTTTCGTTTTTCATTTTTGTGTTTTGTTAATTTTTGGATATATAATTTTTTTATTTCAATGAAAGTACAGAAAATTTAGGAATTTTTGGTTTTTCAAAATTTCGTTTTGAAATTTTTAAAGTTACGATTTTTCGGTTTTTCAATATAAAATTTTTCAGTTTGCCACTTTTTGGTTTCGCAGTTTTTTATTTTTCGATTTCTTAATTGTACTACATAATTGAAATCCTGCCAGTTTTCGAATTTTCAATTTTTAAATTTTTACATATATTTTGAGTTTTCCTTTTTTTGATTTTTAGTTGCTCAATTTTTAATTTTTCATCTTTCCAATTGTTCAATTTTTTTATTCTGTAATTTTTCGAATTTTCGATTTGAAATTTTTAATTCACGATTTTTCACTTTTACAGTTTTTAATTAGAGAATTTTGAAATCCTTCAATTTTTTCAATTTACAACTTTTCAGTTTTTTATTTTTTGATTTCAGTTTAGCAATATTTCGAAATTTCAATTTGGCTATTTTACAATTTTTCGACTTCAACTTTTTAATTTTACAATTTTGAAATTCCAACATTTTTTAGTCTTTTGATTTTTCAATTTTCATGTTCTCGATTTTAAATTTTCATTTTTTAATTATGTACTCATTTTTCGATTTTTTGATTTTTATACTCAAATTTTTCAAGTTGTCATTTTTAAATTTTCCGATTTTTCAGTTTCTCGTAATTTTTGGAATTTTTGATTCTTGAAAATTTCAATTTGAAATTTTTTAATTTATTGTTTTTCAACTTTTTAAATTTACAGTTTTGAAATTCTAGCATTTTTCAATTTTTGTTTTTTATTTTCCAAATTTTTCAAGCTGTCAATTTTTTAAATTTTTCAGTTCCTTGAGTTTTCAATTTTGCGATTTCTCGGTTTTTCAATTTTTTAATTTTACAATTTTGAAATTCTTGCGTTTTTAATTTTTCGAGTTTTCAATTTGAAATTTTTCGACCTTTCAGTTTTGCAATTTATCGAAATTTCAGTTTGGCCATTTTGCAATTTTCCGATTTTTCAACTTTTTAATTTTACAGCATTTTTTAATTTTTATATTTTTCAATTTTCGTGTTCTCGATTATTAACTTTTAGGAATTTTGTTTTTTCGTTTTCTCAATTTTTGGAATTTTCAATTCTTGGATATTGCTTTAATTTTTCATTTTGAAATTTTTGGATTTTTCAATTCCTAGAAATTTTAACTTTTCGCTCGTTCGATTTTTCGAATTTTCAATTTTTCAAAATTCAGTTTTCGAATTTTTTATTTTTAGATTTTTCATTTCGTAATTTTTTCGCTTTTCAATTTTACAATTTTGCAGTTTTCTGATTTTGCAATTTTTTAATTTTTCAGTTTTTCGATTTTTTTATTTTTCAATTTTTAGTTTCCCAATTAATTTTGTATTTCGATTTCAATGAAATTGGAGAAGAAAATTTTAGAATTTTTGGTTTTTCAAAATTTCGTTTTCAAATTTTTGAAGTTACGGTTTTTCGATTTTTCAATTTCAAATTTTTCAATTTTTATGTTTTCGATTTTTAATTTTTCATTTTTTGATTTCCAAGTTTTGGTGTTTATTTTCCGAATTTTTCAAGCTGTCAACTTTTCAATTCCTTGATTTTTCAATTTTTTACTTTACAATTTTTAGAATTTTTAATTTCAATTTGCGATTTCTCGGTTTTTATATTTTTTATTTTTTAATTTTACAATTTTGAAATTCTTCCGTTCTTCCGTTTCCGTTTCCGTTTTAATTTTTCGAATTTTTAATTCAGTTTGGCCATTTTGCAATTTTCCGATTTTTTTACTTTTTCATTTTACTGTATTCCAGCATTTTTTAATTTTTCGATTTTTCAATTTTTGTTCTCGATTTTCGATTTTTAGAAATTTTGTTTTTTCGTTTTCTCAGTTTTTGGAATTTTCAATTCTTGGATATTTTTTAACTTTTCGTTCGTTCGATTTTTCGAATTTTCAATTTTTCAAAATTCAATTTTCGAATTTTTTATTTTTAGATTTTGCAGTTTTTCGAATTTTCAATTTTCCGATTTTTCAATTTTTTTAATTTTTCAGTTTTTCGATTTTTTAATTTTTCAATTTTTAGTTTCCCAATTTATCGTTTTAAAATTTTTGATTTGTTTAATATTCAAATTTTCGTTTTTCATTTATGTATTTTTTTAATTTTTCGATATACAATTTTCAGAATATACAATTTTTCGATTTCAATTTTTTCCGTTTTCCATTTTTTGGTTTCCAATCTTTCGTTTTTTGATTTTTATTCTCCGAATTTTTCAAGTTGTCAATTTTTCTGATTGTTCAGTTCCTCGATTTTTCAATGTTTTATATTCCGATTTTACAATTTTGAAATTCTTCCATTTTTAATTGTTCGAATTTTCAATTTTTCAACACAAAAAAAAACACTTATTCAAGCCCTAAGGTATCTATATTTGAAAACTCAAAAATTGTAAATTAAAAAATCAGAAAACTGGGAAATCGAAAAAAATGAAAAATCTTTAAAAATTACAAAAATGCTCAGGGGTGGGATTTTGTTTCTACCGATACGATACGAAGCGATAACGTAGCGATAAATGACAAGGACGAAAATATAAATTTCAGGGGTGCGATTTTGTTTCTCGATCGAAGTGATAAATTATCACTTGCGATAAATGTCATTACGTAGCTTTTACATGCAAAAGTTTGCATTTATTCTTTACATATATTTATGAAATGGCCAAAAGTTTACAATTACCTTAATTTTAAGAACTTATAACTCAGAATTACGATTTTGAACTTCTTTTTTGACATAAACTTTGAGGTTATGTGGCCAAACTTTATCACTTTACTCAGAGCTATCGAGAAAATATCACTCCATGAAGAGTTGATTTCGTGACAGAATCGAGAAATGTTACAGAAATGTAGCATCTCAACCAATCAGCAAACGAGATTTTATCGCTATCGAGTTTTTTTCGATCGAGAAACAAAATCGCACCCCAGATGTGAAAGAAAGAGACGACCACATTTTATCGGTACCGATATTTTATCGGTAACCGATATTTTATCGGTAACCGATATTTTATCGGTTGCCCTAAAACATCGTAAAACCCCTCCATGAAGAAATAAAATTTAATTTATTTATTTAAACATATCCTATCATTACAACCACATAAACATCAATACGAACCCCGAACAAGATTCACTCCCCACCAGGACCTGAAACACCAAAATCATCATCACCTCCACCCTCTCCTCCAACTTACATCTGCCTGCACTGCACCGACCTCTCCGACGTCACGAACGCCCTCCCCCTGCTGCCCCTCGCCAGCCTCGTCGACGCCAGCAGCTCCCGGCTGAACTTGTTGTACCCCGTGGGCCCCGTCGGCTGCGCCCCGCACGTCTCCAGCGCCACGAAGTCGTCGACGTGGAGCGACGGCGGCCTCGACGTGTTGGGCGGCCTCGACCTGAACACGTCCGAGCGCTGCTGGATCGTCCTCGGGAAGCCCCGCGCCCGCACGGGGGTTACTGAAACACACGCACGTCAGACAGGGTTCACCAGGAGTCGCCGCACCCACTGAAAGGCTTCTTCGTCTTGGCCTTCTGGTCGTTGTCTTGGTTCTCCTTCTCGTTGCTGGCCTCCGAGGGGCAGATTCGGCACAGCTTCTCGATCTCGCGGGCGATGTTGAACTCCTGGGGCAGGTACTGGCGGGCCACTTCGGCCAGGTCGCAGGAGACGTTCTCGTACTCGGACTCGTCGGTGGGCATGGAGAGCCAGTACCGGATGGTGAGGCGCTCGTCGCACACCTCGGAGGAGTTGAAGATGAGGCGGCCGGAGAATTGAACGAGGAGGGTCTCGGGCTCGGGGAGGGTGGGCTCCGGGAAGGAGTCGCGGCCGTCGGGGGAGTCGGACTGGAGGGATTTCACCACGGTGCTGACGCCCTCGAGGAGGCTCTCGAAGGTGATTTCTTCGTCTTTTAGTTTCTGGGGACATTCGAAATTAAAAAGTTGGTACCAAACTTTTAGTCGTTCTCTGTCAGTTTTTACTTAGCAAATTTTGAGGACGTCATAAAATTTTGGTGGGGATGGTTTTTAGTTTTTTGGAAATATTTAGTAATTTTTTTTTTCCAAAAATCTACATCCACAGAGTCAAAAATACAAATACAATATTTCGGATGACGTCATCAAGTCAAAAAAAAACGAAAAAAAAGACTACAAAAACCTTTATAAGCATGAAAAAAAAATCAACAAAGTTAAAAAAAAAAAATAAAAAATGGGAGGAAAAAACAAAAAGAGGGCGAAAAAAGTGTACAAAAATTAAAAATGAGAAAAAAAAAGTTTAAAAAAAGCAAAAAATGGAGCAACAAAAAAATGCGAACAGAAAAAAAAAAGGTAAAAAGTTGACAAAGACGTAAAACTACAAGAAAAATGTAGACAAAAAAATAAAGGCGACATAAAAAAGGTAAAAAACGTAAAGGCCACAAAAAGGAAACAAAAAACAGAACTTAAAAAAAAAGTTTCGTTTTTTCAATTTTTGAATATTTCATGTTTTTAGTTTCTCGATTTTCAATTTTTTAGTTTAAATTCTCCGAGTTTACAAGTTTTTGTTTTCAATTTTTTGAGTTTCGAATTCTATAATTTTGAAATTTCCATTTTCAGTTATTCAGTTTTTCGACATTTTTATTTTACAATTTTTGAAATTCTTGAATTTTTCGTTTTCTCAATTTACCGTTTTCAAATTTTGTATTTTTTAATTTTTCAAGTTTTCATTTTTTCATTTTTGTATTTTTTTAATTTTTCGATACCTATACAATTTTTCGATTTCAATTTTTTCATTTTACAATTTTTAGAATTTTTGATTTTTGGAAACTTCGTTTTGAAATCTTTCCATTTTTCAATTTTTCGATTCAAAATTTTTAAATTTTTCAATTCTCAAGTTTTCAATTTTAATTTTTCAATTTTTTTTTAATTTTTCGATTTTTAATTTCTCAATTTTTAATTTTTTGATTTTAATTTTAAATATTTAATTTTGTATTTTCCGAACTTTTCAAATTTTCAATTTCATATTTTTTGATTTTTCAGTTTCTCGATCTCTCAATTCGAATTTTCAATTTTTAGATATTTCGATTTTCCGTTTTTTCTATTTTTCGAATTTTAATTTCAGAATTTTTCATTTTTTGATTTCAATTTTGAATGTTCCAAACTTCAAATTTTCAATTTTATATTTTTCGATTTTTCAGTTCCTCGATCTCTCAATTTTTCCATTACAAATTTTAGAAATTTTGATTTTTTCGGGTCTCCAATTTTTCGTTAGTCAATTTTTCGATTCCTCAATTCAACTTGAAATTTCTGGTGTTTTCAATTTTTGGATATTTGCATTTTTGAGGTTCTCGATTTTCAAGTTTTTCGTTTAAATTCTTCGAATTTACAAGTTTTTGATTGAAATTGTATAATTTTGAAATTTCCATTCTTCAATTTTACAATTTTTCGATTTTGCAATTTTTTAATTATTCCATTTTTTAAATTTGCAGTTTGGAAATTATTTCATTTTTCGATTTTTCAATTTTTAGATACATATTTTGATTTTTCTTTTTTCAATTTTGATTTTTACTTAGTCGCTCAATTTTTCGATTTAAAATTTTACAATTGTTCAATAATTCTCAAATTCTCGATTTTAATTTTGATTTTTCGTTTCTTCGATTTTGTATTTTTTTCATTTTTGCATTTTTTTTTTTAATTTTTCAATTATTCGTTTTTATAATTTTACAGTTTTGAAATTCTTTCATTTTTCGATTTTTCAGTTTTCGGATTTTGCGTTTTTTCAAATTTTCGATTTTTATTTAGTTGCTCAATTTTTCGATTTAAAATTTTTAGATTTTTCAATTTTCAAGTTCTCGATTTTAATTTTTCAGTTTCTTTGTCTTTTATTTTTCAATTTCTGGTTTTAGAATTTTCAGTTTTGCAGATTTTCGAATTTTCAATTTGGTTATTTTGCAATTTGTCCTCTTTTAGATTTTACAATTTTGATTTTTTTTTAATTTTTTAAATATATATATCGATTTTTAATTTTTCATTTTTTTATTTTAATTTTTTTTTTTTCGAACTTTTCAAATTTTCAATTTTATATTTTTCGATTTTTGACTTTCTCGATTTTCAATTTTTCAGTTTAAATTCTTCGAATTGACAAGTTTTCGATTTTTAAATTTTATAAATTGGAAATTCTTTTTTTTTCGATTTTTCAATTTTTAGATATTTTGATTCGTCGTTTTTTCAATTTTTCGATTTAAAATTTTTAATTTCACGAATTTGCTATTTTTTTTTTAATTTTAACAGTTTTGAAATTCTTCCATGGTTCAATTTTTCGATTTTACAATTCTTTAATTTTTCAATTATTCGATTTTTTAATTTTATAATTTGAAAATTCTTTCATTTTTCGATTTTTCAATTTTTAGATAGTTTGATTTTTCGTTTTTTATTTAGTTGCTCAATTTTTCGATTTTAAATTATTATATTTTTCAATTCTCAAGTTCCCGATCTTAATTTTTCATTTTTTCAATTTTGTATTTTTCATTTTTTCGATTTTTTAATTTGAAAATTTTCAGTTTGCGACTTTTCAGTTTCTTAATATTTTATTTTTCAATTTTTAGTTCTAGAATTTTCATTTTTGCAGTTTTTTGTATTTCCAATTTGGCTATTTTGCAATTTTTCGATTTTGAAATTTTACGATTTTGAAATGATTCCGATTTTTAGACATTTTGATTTTCCGTTTTTTCTATTTTTCGAGTTTTAGTTTCACAATTTTTCATTTTTAAAGTTCTCGATTTTTAATTTTGTATTTTTCGAACTTTTCAAGTTTCAATTTTATATTTTTTCGATTTCTCAGTTTCTCGATGTATCAATTTTTTTATTGCAAATTTTAGAATTTTTGATTTTTGAAGTTTCCAATTTTTCGTTGGTTCAATTTTACAATTTCACGATTTTTTTAATTTTGAAATTCTTCCATTGTTCAATTTTGCGACTTATAATTGCTCGATTTTCAATTTTTCGAATTTACAAGTTTTTTATTTCAATTCTATAATTTTGAAATTTCCATTTTTCGATTTTTAAATTTTATAAATTAGAAATTCGTTAATTTTTCAATTTTTAGATATTTTGATTATTCGTTTTTTCGATTTTTCAATTTTTATTAGTTGGTCAATTTTTAGATTTTTCAATTCTAAAGTTCTCGATTTTAATTTTTCATTTTTCGTTTTTACAATTTTGTATTTTTTCATTTTTTCGATTCTTCAATTTAAAAATGTTCAGTTTTGCGACTTTTTAGTTTCTTATAAGTCTTTTATTTTTCAATTTCTAGTCTTAGAATTTTCAGTTTTGCAGTTTTTCGAAGTTTTAATTTGGTCATTTTGCAATTTTTCGATTTTTGAATTTTACAATTTTGAAATAATTCTAATTTTCAATTTTTAGATATTTTGATTTTCCGTTGTTTCTATTTTTAGATGTTCAGTTTTTTCATTTTAAAAGTTCTCGATTTTTAATTTTTCATTGTTTGATTTTAATTTTGTGATTTTTTTCGATCTCTCAATTTTTCTATTGCAAATATTAATTTTTTTATTTTTCGGGTTTCCAATTTTTCGTTAGCCAATTTTTCGATTTTTCAATTCAACTTGAAATTTTTCGTTGAAAAATAAAAAAGGAGGAAAAAAATGTTAAAAAAAGCGAAAAACGCGAACAAAGAAAATGCGAACAGAAAAAAAGGTAAAAAAAAAAGGTTAACAAAGACGTAAAACTACAAGAAAAATATCGACAAAAAAATAAAGGCGGCATAAAAAAAGATAAAAAACGTAACGAAAATGCCATAAAAATGGAACAAAAAAAGAAATTAATTTTTTAGTTTAAATTCTTCGGGTTTACACGTTTTTGATTTAAATTTTTCGAGTTTTTTAATTCTATAATATTAAAATTTCCATTTTTCGAATTTTCATTTTTTCGATTTTGCAATTTTTTAATTTTTCAATTATTACGATTTTGAAATTCTTCCATTTTTCGATTTTTCAATTTTTCGATATTTCATTTCTCAATTTTTCAAAAAGGAATTTCTAGATTTTCAATTTTTTGGTTAATATTTTTCGATTTTACAAGTTTTCGATTGCAATTTTTCGAGTTTTTAATTTTATAATATTGAAATTTTTCCGTTTTTCAATTTGCAATTTTTTAATTTTTCAGTTTTTCGATTTTTTATTTTACAATTTTGAAATTCTTCCTTTTATCGATTTTTCAATTTTTAGACTTTTTGAATTTCGTTCTTTCAATTTTTAGTTTTCTATTTTTTCTATTCTTAGATGTTTTTTTCATTTTTAAAGTTCTCGATTTTTAATTTTTCATTTTTTGATTTTAATTTTCGATATTTAATTTTGTATTTTCCGAAATTTTCAATTTTGCAATTTTTCGAATTTTCAATTTTATAATTTGGAAATTCTTTTATTTTTCGATTTTTCAATTCTCAAGTTCTCGATTTTAATTTTTCATTTTTCATTCTTCAATTTTTCGATTTTTTAATTTGAAAATTTTCAGTTTGCTACTTTCCAGTTTCTTAGTCTTTCATTTTTCAATTTCAGTTTTTCGAATTTTAATTTGGTTATTTCGTAATTTTTCGATTTTTAAATTATATTGTTTTGAAATTATTCCAATTTTCAATTTTTGTATTTTTCGAACTTTTCAAGTTTAAATTTTATATTTTTCGATTTTTTAATTTCTCGATTCATCAATTTTTCTATCGCAAATTTTAGAATTTTTCATTTTTCTAGTTTCCAATTTTCGAATTTTCAGTTTCACAAATTTGCTATTTTTTTTTAATTTTAACAGTTTTGAAATTCTTCCATTGTTCAAATTTTCGATTTTTAGTGGCCCGATTTTTAATTTTTCGAGTTCTCAATTTTCCAGAAAAAAAAAAACAAATTTATTCAAAGCGACATTTTTTTTTATTATTTTCCCTGATGGAGAAATTGGGAAATCGTAAACTGACAATACGAAAAATCAAAAGCTGAAAAATCGAAAAAAGAAAAAATCTCCAAAAATGTAAAAAACGAATAAGGCTGTAAAAAAACTTTAAAAGCGTGATAAAAAAAAGGTACAAAAAACTAAAAAATAAAAAACCGCGTCAAGAATCCGCACAGAAAATATATAAAAAAGTTAACAAAGACGTAATGAAAAATGGAACAAAAAAGGAATACAAAACAAAAAAAAACTATAAAAAGAAAACCAAAAAGTAGTGGGGGAAAACGACAAAAAGGCAAAAAAAGACAACAAAACCATAAAAAACAACACAAAAAATTCAACCAAAAAACAGCACAAAAACTACAAAAATGCAACAAAAATAAAAAAGCGTGAGAAAAAAAAAGTTGGTCAAAAAAAGGGAACGAGAGGCAATCAAGAAAGGGATAAAGACAAAGGGGTCAATTCCAAGTTGGTGGCGCAAGTCAGTGGTGCAGCGCAACTTTATAATGCTAATTTGGGTATCAAATGCTGGTTGCTAGGGGTGACGGAATAAACAAGCGCAATTTTTCGAGATAAATTGCGCCAACTTGCACTGCCTACTAGAGGTGCCGCAACTCCATGGTGCAAATTTCAATGGAAAATTTCAATTTATCTCGAAAAATTGCGCTTGTTTATTCCGTCACCCCTAGCAACCAGCATTTGATACCCAAATTAGCATTATAAAGTTGCGCTGCACCACTGACTTGCGCCACCAACTTGGAATTGACCCCTACGACTTCAAAAAAGGGAGTAAAAAGAAGCAAAAAAAGAAAATTTACAAAAGGCGTCAAAGTAAAGTGATTACAAAAAAAAAACATACAACAAACAAAAAAAAGCTTGAAAAAATGGTTAACAAGGAAAAGCTATAAAAAAAGGCGACAAAATAGCTAAAAAAAATGGGGAAAACCACCAGAGGCCGAAAAAAGTCTAGAAAAAAGCCAATCCAAAAACTTTACAAAAAAAAAGTAAAAAAAAAGAGAACAAAAACGCGATCCGAAAAAAAAGGTTGACAATGACTTAAAAAATGCTAAAAACGCAATAAAAAAGGGCGACGAAGAAAAGGATTAAAAACGACAAAAAATGGCCAAAAAGGTAACAAAAATTCAACAAAAAAAAGGAATAAAAAGGCAACAAAAAGAGACCAAAAAAGGGGAAGGAAGAAAAAAAGCATAAAAAAAAGGAATTAAAAAAGTAAGAACATGGGAACGAAAAAAGAAAAAAACTACAGAAAAGCGACATGAAAGTCAATTTTTCCATTGCAAATTTTGGAATTTTTCATTTTTCGGGTTTCCAATTTTTCGTTAGTCAATTTTTCGATTTTTCAATTCAACTTGAAATTTTTGGTTTTTTCAATTTTAGAATATTTCATTTTTTGAGTTTCTCGATTTTCAATTTTTTTATTTAAATTCTTTCATTTTTCAATTTTTCGTTTTTTCAATTTTTCGATTTTTCAATTCTCATGTTCTCGATTTTAATTCTTCATTTTCGTTTTTTCAATGTTGTAATTTTTCAATTTTTCGATTTTTTAATTTGAAAATTTTCAGTTTGCGACTTTTCAGTTTCTTATCGAAAATCGAAAAAAGAAAAAATCTCCAAAAAACGTAAAAAACGAATAAAGCTACAAAAATAAAAAAAGAAGAGGAAAAAAATGCCAAAAAAGCAAAAACGAGAGCAAAAAAGAACAAAAAAAGGAATAAAAAAGAACAAAAAAACCTATAAAAAGAAAACCAAAAAACCTATAAAAAGAAAACCAAAAAATGGTGGGTGAAAACGACAAAAAAAGGCAAAAAAGACAACAAAACATACGATAAAAAACAACACAAAAAATTCAACCAAAAAAACAGCACAAAAACTACAAAAACGCAACAAAAATCTTAAAAAAGGGTGAGAAAAAATAAAAAAAGTCGGTTAAAAAAAGGGGGAGGAAAAAGTCAACCAAGAAAGGGATAAAGACTAGAACTTCAAAAAGGGGAGTAAAAAGAAGGAAAAAAGAAAATTTACAAAAGGCGTCAAAAAATGATTACAAAAAAAAGTACAACAAACAAAAAAAGGAAGGAAAAAAGCTTGATAAAGAAAAGATGAAAAAATGGTTAACAAGGAAAAGCTATAAAAAAGGCAACAAAATAATTAAAAAAAAAAACAAATAATGGGTAAAACCACCAGAGGCCGAAAAAAGTCTAGGAAAAACCAATCCAAAAACTTTAGAAAAAAAAAGTAAAAAAAGAGAACAAAAACGCGATCCGAAAAAAAAAGGTTGACAATGACTTAAAAAATGCTAAAAACGCAATAAAAAAGGGGGACGAAGAAAAGGATAAAAAACGACAAAAAATGGCCAAAGAGGTCACAAAAAATTCAACAAAAAAGGAATAAAAAGGCAACGAAAAGAGACCAAAAAAGGGGAAGAAAAACGACAAAAGTTACAAAATCCTCAAAAAAAGGAACAAAAAGAGGGCTAGAAATGGGAGAAAAAAGTCAACAAAAAAAATTGGGAAAAAAAAGACGCCCAAAAAATGGTCCAAATAATACGTAAAAAAAAATTAAAAAATAAAAACGCCAAACAAGGATACAAAAAATTACAAAAATTCACCAAAAATGGGACAAAAACACCACGAAAAAATGCCACTAAAAAAAGAAATTAAAAAAGTAAGAACATGGGAACGAAAAAAGAAAAAAACTACAGAAAAGCGACATGAAAGTCTACAAAAAAGAAAAGTGTAAAAAAGAAGCAAAAAATGAGGGAAAAAGACTGGTAAGAACGACAAATAGGCGACAAAAACCTATAAAAAAAAGTGCCCAAAAAAAGGAGAAATAAAAAGAAGAGTCCACAGAAAATGCGAAAAAAATGCAACTAGCAAAAAACAACAACAAAGAAGACAAAAAAAGATGAAAAACTACTAAACAAAAATATACCAAAAAACAAAAACTGCAAGTCATTAAAAAAAGACGAAAAAAGAAAGGATAAAAGGGCGAAAAAAACTTCCAACTTCTCCCCACTCACCTACAATTTTGAAATTTCAATTTGGCTATTTTGCAATTTTTCGATTTTGAAATTTTACGATTTTGAAATTATTCCAATTTCTAGATATTTTGATTTTCCGTTTTTTCTATTTTTCGATTTTTAAAGTTCTCGATTTTTAATTTTGTATTTTTCAAACTTATCAAGTTTCAATTTTATATTTTTTCGTTTTTGCGAATTTTTTTAATTTAACAGTTTTGAAATTCTTTCATTGGTCAATTTTTCGACTTTCAGTTGCCCGATTTTCAATTTTTTAGTATACATTCTTTCATTTTAAAAGTTTTTGATTTCAGTTTTTTGAGTTTCTAATTCTATAATTTTGAAATTTCCATTTTTCAATTTTGCAGTTTTTCGAATTTTCAATTTTTCGATTTTGCAATTATTTAATTCTGTAATAATTATTCGATTTTTTGATTTTACAATTTGGAAATTCTTTCATTTTTCGATTTTTCAATTTTTAGATATTTTGATTTTCCGTTTTTTCAATTCTCAAGTTCTAGATTTTAATTTTTAATTTTTCGTTTTTTCAATTTTGAATTTTTCATGTTTTCGATTTTTTAATTTTTAAAGTTCTCAATTTTTAATTTTGTATTTTTCGAACTTCTCAAGTTTCAATTTTAAATTTTTCGATTTTTTAATTTTTCTATTGCAAATTTTACATTTTTTTCAATTTTTCGATTTTAGTTTGTCGTTTTTTCGAATTTTCAATTTAATTTTTTTTTTTAATTTTAACAGTTTTGAAATTCTTCCTACGTTCAATTTTTCGATTTTTGGTGTCTGGATTTTTAATTTTTCGAGTTTTCCATTTTTCACAAAAAAGAAATTTATTTAAATCGACATTTTTTAAAATTGTAAACTACGAGAATTTAAATTATTTTCCCCGATGACGTTTCTTCGACAAACTGGGAAATCGAAAAACTGCGAACACGAAAAATCAAAAGTTGAAAAATCGAAAAAAGAAAAAAATCTCCAAAAAACGTAAAAAACGAATAAGGCTACAAATAAATTTTAAAAGCATGATAAAAAAGAAGAGGAAAAAAATGTTAAAAAAGCAAAAACGCGAGCAAACAACTGCGTCAAAAATGCGAACAGAAAATGTAAAAAAAGATAACAAAGACGTAATGAAAAATAGAAAAAAAAGGGAATAAAAACCAACAAAAAAACTATAAAAAGAAAATCAAAAAATGGTGGGGGGAAAACGACAAAAAAAGGCAAAAAAGACAACAAAACATACGATAAAAAACAACACAAAAAATTCAACCAAAAAAACAGCACAAAAACTACAAAAAGTCTAGAAAAAGCCAATCCAAAAACTTTACAAAAAAAAAGAGAAAAGTCCACAGAAAATGCGAAAAAAATGCAACTAGCAAAAAACGACAAAGACGAAAAAAGCGAAAAAAGATGAAAAACTACTTAAAAAAATTCCAAAAAACAAAAACTGCAAGTCATTAAAAAAAGGCGAAAAAGGTAGCAAAAAGCTCCCCCCCCCCCCCCCCACTCACCTTCAGTATCTCCTCCAGCGCCACCAGCGGATGCCTCTCGTCCCCGCTCAGCTCCCCCTTCCACCCCACCACCGCCTTGATCTCCCCCAGCGCCATCCTCATCTTCCTCGGCGTGTACAGCGCGCCTTCCACCTCCTCGCAGCTCGAACAAACCCTGATAAACTCCACCAGCGTGTTCAGCGTCGACAGACACTCCGCGTTCTCCTTGGAGAAATTCCGCGCCAACTTATTCAAAACGACCCCGAACACGTCCCCCCTCTTCCCCAGCTGCTCCTTCAAGTGGTAGAACCCGTAGTCGTGCTCGGTCAGCAGCAGCAGCGTCCGCACCGCCGGCAGATACGTCACGAACGAACTGTCCACCTGGAGGTAGTCCAGGATCATGGCGATGAACGTGAGCAGGTGCTCCTTCACGGGGAGCGCGTTGGCGAGGTAGAGGTCCGACGTGACCTCGGCGGCGACGCTGCTCTGAAGCAGGGTGATCTCCACGTCGCAGAAGCTCTGAATTATGCTCAGAATGCACTCCTGAGCTTGGATGTGAGTGGTACTACTGCTGTTGACTTTGAGGACTTGCGCGAACACGTGGACTAGGGTCGGGTACTTCTCGTCGCTCTTGGAGCTGGAGCTGTGGATGAGGTGCAACACGGCGCACTTGAGGGTACTGTGGGTGACCAAGCAAGCGAGGAAGTTCAACAAACGGGTCACGTGGTTGCTGCACACCCCGATTTTGGTGTCATCGGTGGGAACTAAACCCTTGTACACTGAGTCTAAAATTCCTCTGGCGATCATTGTAGCGGAATTGGCGGCCAGGTCTGCCAACTGGACGCACACCCGGCGCAAAAGATTGACCAATTGAGAGTGCGAGGTACTACACAATTTATTAATCAACTCTTGAATACTGGTACTATGGGGGTGCAAATGCGCAGACCACAACTTTCGTAAATTAACAACCCAAGTGACTTCGTCTTTGGATAAATCTTCAGTGGTTTGAATGGGTAGCGGTAGCGGTAGAAGCTCCGACAGTACCAATAACCCAGGTATAAACGTATAGGGGGCTGACGTTACGTACTTAATCACTTCGCCACACATCAGTGTCCAGAGGGTTTTACTAAGAGAATCCTTCTCGTGAATCTCGTCAGACACCGGCTGCGTGTACACCAAAAGGGTGTCTATAATAACCTTGCAAGTTTCTTGAGCTTGGTGGTACCCACCGCACGTGTTGGGGTACGAACTGAGCAAATTATACGTCTGCAGAAGAATCGGTACCACCGTCAGGTCCTTGAAATTGGTATTACGGCACTGAATCACGTACGTCAACATCTGCTTAAGAAGCTCAACACACGGCGATATTAAATTGAGAATGAGGAAACCTTGACTGGACGCAAAAACGTAAGTATGCAGACTGGGTTGCTCATAATGGTCGCAGATTTTCTGCAACAACTTCGTCAGAATCGTGGTACCATCTAGCGAAAATAGCTGCAAAATGACGTGTTTGTACTTAAGTTCGATGTAGTGACTTAGCGGGTTTTCGGATAGTACCGAACCGTCTGCATCTGAAGATATACCCAAATTTTGGATCACCCGCAAAGCTGTGATCAACGGGCCCGGAAAACTCGTCACGTGCTCGATTTGTTTGTTAATGACGTCAACAAAGTGACTTATATTGTCGTAATTAAGAGTGACGTTTTCCAGAGGTGTTAAGTACGACTTTATTTCCACCAGTTTTTGGGTGACCCCGTCTTCAAACAAGTCCAGCTGATCCACGAACTGGTAGATCTGCTTGAAGTACGCTTCCAGGAACTGCACGTTCGGTACTGCCGTGATAGTCACCGCGATTAAATCGACAATGTAGGCGATCCCGGGTGACTTCTTGATTTTGTTGATCTGACTTTCGGACTTATCTTTGATTTGCACGTCCCCCAGGTACTGCAACAAGCACTCAATGTTGTCCTTCATTCCAAGTACTTCAGCTACACAAATTCGCCCTATGTTGGTAAACGTCAAACAAAACAAGCCGTGGAGTTGGTCCACCACCTCCAACGCGTCATAATCGTGGTTGAACCTCTCCCCGGCACTCGTTAAGCTCTCCACGTAGTACAACACCTCCATCTTGTAAGCCGCTTCCAACCCCAAATTGTGCGACTTAATTTCGATGTAGTCCTGAATCGAGAACTGCATTTCTTCGTCGGGTCGTAGCAAACACCTCAACAGGGCCTGCATCGTCTGACAGTTCTCCCCTAAGTACTCCAAACCTTCCGCCGTCTTCAACAAGTCCGACAATATTTCGAAAATTGGGTTCTTTACACTTGGAAGGTTCATGGTACTAGGGCAAGTCAGAAGCAAGAAGGCGCATTGGAGTAAATCGAACATGCGGTAGTACTCGACGAGGACGTTCTTAGTCTCGGTTCGGATTATCTCGAACTGCGCCGAAACCGGTAAGAAACGCTTGGGTTGGGAAAATACGAACTGCTCGTTCTGGGTGGCATTAACAATCTGGTCTAACGACTTAGTGATTAGGTGAATATCGCCTTGGGTGATTTCTGACGGACAATTGCGCATTTCCATGAGTACCGCGTGCATCTTATGGAAGACTTCATATAAGTTGAGTTTTTTCAAAATAGAGTTGAGAGAAAACTTCAAACGCACGGAAGGATTTCTGCGCAGTTTTTCCACGAGGGTTTTATACCCATTGTCCTTGGACACACACAAAGTATCATGGTACCCATTTTCCCGACACGTACTATTCTTACCCAAAAGAAACCTCTCAATAGCGAACTTGTGCAAAAGATAACTATCCAAAGCCTTGAGAATCATGAGCTTAATCGACAAAGCCATGTACTCCTGGTCATACAAACCCAGAAGCACGTCGTAAATGTGGAACTTCGACTCCCACAACAATTTAACAAAATCGGGACTATTACAACACCAATCAGCCAACCTCACCCCACACTTGATATGCCGTATTTTGTACACCGGTTGGTCCTGGATGTTCGCCATTTCGTAGCTCAGCGCGATTTTCAACCAATCGATCACCGTGTACGTGACGCAATGGAACTGCTCGGCCAATTCTCGGTCCTCGACGCCGAATTTGCGCTCCTTTAGCCCCTTCACGGCGACGTGGAACTTCACGATCTCGCAGAAGTTCTCCACGCTCCCGAAGGTGTTGATGAGTTTTTCGCACAAGTGGATGAACTCCTCCTTGATTTCGGTGTTCAGCTTGGTGAAGTCCTCCAGGACGTACTTCGTGATGCTGGACTTGAAGTAATCGTCGACTATGCCGACGGTGGTTTTCAGGTTTTCGTCCACGCGCAGCCCGTCGCAGGTCACACTGAACGTCGCCGGTTTCTCGAACGTTCGCAAGTTGGTCACACCAGGAATGAAGAGCTTGATTAAGTCGTCGTTGTTGGTGTAGGCGCCGAAATCGTAGTCCACTTCGGAGCCGTCGTCCACGATCTCCTCGTCGCTCAAGATCGGCTCGAACTCCTCCACGTCCATGGGGGCGGCCTCCTCCACGGGAGGGGTGGCGGTCTCCTGGGGAATTGCAACACAATAAGACCGAATTTTGGTTTAAACACTAAAAATATTAATGGACAGATTTATTTTGATTAACAATTTACCATGCTTACAATGACTTTAAAACGTCTGCAAGATTTCAAAGCATTCAGTTTTGCAATTGTTGATTTATTCAATAAAATAAACTGACTGATTTATTAATTTTTTTGAGTCACCCTGTATAAGCAAATCTAAAAAATATGAATGTATAACACGATTACTCAAGAACATATTTCACATGGTAAAAAAAAATAAGGATTTGACAATTAAGCTCCGCCCCTCGGCTTACGACGAATAAAAAAATCATCAGAATTGAGACAGGGCGGGTGGGCGGGGCTTATATTTTGCCTTCTTGTTCTTAATATTGTTACGATTGACGGACGAATAATAAATCGGGCGTTGGTAAAACTCAAAAATTTATTTCTTCAGGTCGAATTACAACACTATCTATTGCAACGAATATGTACAGAAATTATTCCGGCGCTCTCGACTGTCTTCACTGGATGAATGAAATCCATTACCCACGGTCGCCTCTATTTAAACCCATAGTCTCTGATCGAGATCCTTCACGAACATCCATCGCGACTCCGCTTCGAGACTCCCCTGGACGCCGCTTCGAGACGCTCCAGACCTGTCTTTATGCGCCCGCCTCTCGGCCGTCAACAGCGATGATTCACCCATCAGCGCCGTGCGTACGTCCAGAAGGCTCTCGACCGCCATAGGCGTCGTACTGGGGCGGCGTAAGGGTGTATTTCGTAACAATATACATAGCCATCTTTTCACAACAAGAAACAAGTATACACATATTAAAACAAAAAGACAAAATGTAAGCCCGCCCACCCGCCCTGTCTCGATTGTAATGATTTTTTTTAATTCGTCGTGAACCAAGGGGGCAGGGCTTAACCGCAAAATACTTATTTCTTTACAAGAAATTAAAAATATGTTTTTGAGTATCGTGTTCAAACAATGCTACGTATATTAAGAAAAAAAGGCAAAATATAAATTCCGCCCACCCACCCCACTTAAATTGTGATGATTTTTTTTTTCTTGGAAACTTAAAACACATTTAAAATGGTACATTTTTGTAAGGAAATTATGTGTGGTTTTCTTTGTCAATTAATACATTTAGTTTTCTTAGTACAGGGTCATCAAAATTGATTGAGAGAGTTGGTACCCCCTGTTTTTGTCGTGAAGTTTGTCAACCTTATAACAGATTTGTTTAAGGTTATATGGCAATGAATTCAGTGGCGTGACAAAAATTAGAAACTTCAAATCTGACAACTAATGTTTTTACCAAAAAAAAAGTCGAAAAAAGACGCCACTGAGTTTTGAAATTTGAAACTTGAAACTTCAAATCTGACAGCTAATATTTTTATACAACTTAATAAACCAAATTATTCAAGTTCAGGTTTACCAACTCTCTCAATCAATTTTGATGACTCTGTATAACACGTGTAGTTATCTAAAAATTGAAAATTCAAAAAATTGAAAACTCAAAAAAAAAACAAAAATTTGAAAATTGGCAGTAGAAAAATTGAGAAATCGAGAAACTGACAAATTGAAAACTTGAAAATTTCGGAAAATACAAAATTAAATATCGAAAATTAAAATCAAAAAATGAAAAATTGAGAAATTGAACATCTACAAATAGAAAAAATTTCAAAATCGAAAAATTGCACAATGAACAACTGAAAATTCGAAAAACTGCAAAACTGAAAAATTGAAATTTCAAAATTATAGAATTAGAAACTCAAAAAACTGAAATCAAAAACTTGTAAAATGAAAGAATTTATACTAAAAAATTAAAAATCGAGAACTTTAAAAATGGAAAATTGTGAAACTAAAAATCGAAAAATCGAAAAAACGGAAAATCAAAAAATTGGAATAAAATCAAAATCGTAAAATTTAAAAATCGAAAAATTGCAAAATAGCCAAATTGAAAATTCGAAAAAGTGCGAAACTAAAAATTCGAAAACTAGAAACTGAAATGTCGCAAACTGAAAATTTTCAAAATAAAAGATCGAAAAAATGAAAAATCACAAAATTGTAAAAACTAAAAATGAAAAATCAAAATCGAGAACTTGAGAATTGAAAAATCGAAAAATTGGAAAAACGAAAAATCAAAATATCAAAAAATTGAAAAATTGAAAAATGGAAACTTCAAAATTATAGAATTAAAAACTCAAAAAATTAAAATGAAAAACTTGTAAATTAGAAGAATTTAAAAAAAAAATGAGAAACTCAAAAAATTAAAGATTCAAAAATTGTAAAAAACAAAAATTTCTAATTGAATTGAAACATTAAAAACCAGAAAAATTAAAATAAAGAACATATTTAAAAATTGAAAAATCGAAAAATTGCAAAATGGCCAAATTGAAAATTCGAAAAACTGCAAAACTGAAAATTTTCAAATTAAAAATTCAAAAAAATGAAAAAATACAACATTGAAAAAACGAAACATTAAAAATTGAAATCGTGAACTTGAGAATTGAAAAATCTAAAAATTGGAAACCCGAAAAATCAAAAATTCCAAAATTTGCAATGGAAAAATTGAGAGATCGAGAAACTAGAAAATCGAATTTACACGTTTCGATTTAACCAAAAAATTGAACATCTAGAAATTCCTTATTGAAAAATTGAGAACTGAAATATCGAAAAAACGAAAAATCAAACTATCTAAAAAGTGAAAATTAGAAATATTTCAAAATCGAAAAATTGCAAAATGACCAAACTGAAAATTCGAGAAACTGCAAAACTGAAAAATGGAAATTTCAACATTATAGAATTAGAAACTCAAAAAATTTAAAACTCAAAAAAACAAAAATTCGAAATTTTGCAGTAGAAAAATTGAGAAATCGAGAAACTGACAAATTGAAAACTTGAAAATTTCCGAAAATACAACATTAAATATCGAATAATAGAATCAAAAAATGAAAAATTAAAAATCGAGAACTTTGAAAATGAAAAATTGGGAAACTGAACATCTAAAAATAGAAAAAAAAAGGGAAAATCAAACTAAAAACATCTAAAAATTGAAAATTAGAATTATTTCAAAATCGAGTAACTAAAAATCGAAATTTTGGACAATTTCAAAACTAATAAAATTGGAAACTAGAAAAATGAAAAATTCTAAAATTTGCAAGGGAAAAATTGATGAATCGAGAAACTGAAAAATCGAAAAATGTAAAATTATGAAACTAAAAATTGAAATAATTTCAAAACTGTAAAATGTAAAAATCGAAAAATTGCAAAATAGCCAAATTGAAGATTTGAAAAACTGAAATTGAAAAATAAAAACTAAGAAACTGGAAAGTCGCAAACTGAAAATATTTAAATTAAAAAATAGAAAAAATTAAAACATACAAAATTGAAACAACGAAAAATGAAAAATTAAGATAGAGAACTTGAGAATTGAAAAACCGAAAAATTGGAAAAACGAAAAATCAAAATATCAAAAAATTAAAAAATGGAAACTTCAAAATTATACTTAAAAACTCAAAAAATTGAAGTGAAAAACTTGTAAATTCGAAGAATTTAAACAAAAAAAAAAAAAAATAAAATCGACAAACTCAAAAAATTAAATATTCAAAAATTGTAAAAAACAAAAATTTCTAATTGAATTGAAAAATTGAAAAATTAAAAATCAGAAAAAATAAAAATAAAGCACATATCTAAAAATTGAAAATTGGAAAAATTGAAAACTCGAAAAATCAAAAATTTCAAAATTTGTAGTAGAAAAATTGAGAAACCGAGAAACTGAAAAATTGAAAACTTGAAAATTTTGGAAAATACAAAATTAAATATCGAAAATTAAAATCAAAAAATGAAAAATTAAAAATCGGGAACTTTAAAAATGAAAAATTGAGAAACTGAACATCTAAAAATAGAAAAAACGGAAAATCAAAATATCCAAAATTTTCAAAATAAACTAATTGCAAATTCGAAAAATGCAAAACTGAAAATTCTGAAACTAGAAACTGAAAAATAAAAGACTAAGAAACTGAAAAGTCGCAAACTGAAAATTTTCAAATTAAAAAATCGAAAAATTGAAAAATTACAACATTGAAAAAACGAAAAATGAAGAATTAAAATCGAGAAATTGAGAATTGAAAAATCTAAAAATTGGAAACCCGAAAAATAAAAAATTCCAAAATTTGCAATGGAAAAATTGAGAGATCGAGAAACTAGAAAATCGAATTTACACGTTTCGATTTAACCAAAAAATTGAAAATCTAGAAATTCCCTATTAAAAATTGAGAAATGAAATATCGAAAAAACGAAAAATCAAACTATCTAAAAAGTGAAAATTAGAATTATTTCAAAATGGAAAAATTGCAAAACGACCAAACCCAAAAATTCGAAAAACTGCAAAACTGAAAAATGGAAATTTCAAAATTATAGAATTAGAAACTCAAAAAATTTAAAACAAAAACTTGTAAATTCGAAAAATTGAAACTAAAATATTGAAAATCGAGCCACCAAAAGTCGAAAAATTAAACAATGGAAGAATTTCAAAACTGTTAATTTAAAAAAATAGCAAATTCGTGAAATTGAAAATTCGAAAAAACGAGGAACTGTAAAATCGAAAAATTGAAAAAACGAAAAATTGGAAACTACAAAAATCAAAAAATTCTAAAATTGCAATAGAAAAACTGATAAATTGAGAAACTGAAAAATCGAAAAATATACAACTGAAACTTGAAAAGTTCGAAAATACAAAATTAAAAATCAAGAACTTCAAAAATGGAAAATTGTGAAAATAAAAATCGAAAAATAGAAAAAATGGAAAATTAAAATATTTTAAAAATTGGAATAAAATCAAAATCGAAAAATTGCGAAACTAACAATTCGAAAACTAGAAACTGAAAAGTCCCAAACTCAAAATTTTCAAATTAAAAATCGGAAAAACGAAAAATCACAAAATTGTAAAAACGAAAAATGAAAAATTAAAATCGAAAACTTGAGAATTGAAAAATCTA